CACCTGCAAGCAAAGATGCCGAAGGGCATCTGAGATTCTACTTGCCTGCCCGATGACTGGCGACGCGCGAGGCACTCGAGATCGAGGTGCAGCAGTTGCGCGAAAACCTCTCGGCCAAGAGCAGGCAGCTCGAGGAGCCTCTGCCTTCTCTTGGAAGCCATTCGTCCTTTCGGCTACAGCAAAGCGCAAAGTATACCATCTGCCAGAGATGGTCCAGAATATAAGATTTTGCGGATCCCCTGAACAGTAACGATTAGGATCGAGCAACTGCCCCGAGTCAGCTTACGCATGTCGAAGCTCCTCTGCTCCATACCGTTCAGCTCTGCTCTATTCATTTCCGGTGCCCATGACCCTATGACACGACGGACACGTGCGTGCCCAAAGGCATACCCATGGAGCAGGGGGGGTGCAAACAAATACATGATACTGGGGAAAAGCCCCAATCCAAGTCTTTTTAGGGCTATGGGGCTGTTGGGCTATAAGGCTATATGGCTACAGGGCCATAGGGCTATAGGGCCATAGGGCTATGAGTCTACAGTGCTATGGGGCTATAGGGTTATAGGACCATAGGGCTACATGGATATCGGGCTATAGGGCTATGGGGCTACAGGGACATAGGGCGATAGGCAATATAGAGCTATAGGGCTATAAGGCTACAAAGCTATAGGACTGTAAGGCTATAGGGATATAGGGCTCTTGGGCTATAGGGCTATAGGACTATCGGACTATGGGACTATAGGGCCATTGGGCTATAGGGCTATAGAGCTATAGGGTTATAGAGCTAAAAAGCTCTAGGGCGATTGGAGTATAGGGCTATAATGCTACAAGGCTACAAGGCTGTAGGGTTATAGGGCTATCGGGCTGTAGGGTTATAGGGCTATGGGGCTATGGGGCCATAGGGCTACAATAGGACAAGGCTATAGGGCTGTAGGGCTATAGGGCACCCGGGCACCCAGGAGCCTGGGCACCCGGGCACCTTGGCACCCGGGCACCTGGGCACCTGGGCACCCGGGCACCTGGGCGGGCCGTGGAAACCAGTGACACACCTCACCTAACCATATGAATCCGCTAGAACCCCTACAGAGGCAAGCTCTAATTGGGGAACGTGGACGATTTTCGAAAGATGGGGCAATGTGCATGGCTCGTGCAACATCGAAATGCCGGTGGATGCGGTAAGTCATTTCGCGTCGACTTGTTTCTCGATTCCTTGAAATCTAAATTGTTTCGACACGATGGTATGCAAAACGATCGAAATCGAGTGCTTGTAATGCGTAAGCCAGACCTGGAAATACAGATGCGACTATTGATAATACACGCGTGTCTAACAAGAGCGTGCCAAGTCGTTGAAACTAGCTATGTTTTGACCACATCGGCTAAGCATGTTCAAACAGTCATTTGGGCCGTTTGGCAGTGACGCCGCGATCTGCGTAAATTTGCATCCGATTTTCAGAATTTGGAGGACATTCCACGCGAAAATGCCCAACAAAAACATGGACGGCAGCACCGGTGATCGCCTCTGAGCTCCATTCCATCGGAAGTGCGTATGATAATCAGTTTCTACTATACACTCCACCCTTCCCTGCTCTATGACCGTCTACTCTACTCTACTCGACTATCTACTGCTCTACCCGACCCTACCCACTTGACTATTGCTCCACACTTTCTGCCCTACTCCTGCGCTTCTATATTCTAGACCTTGTGGGTCCACGAATGATCCCGACCGATCTCCCAGCGCCCCTCCTTGGGAACTTGCGCGAGTCGGCCAAGATTCCTCCCTGAACAGCGGGCCAATGGGCGCGATAGTTCCTCCGAGCTCTCTTGAAGAGGCTTGGTTGGACAATCTCGGGACAGGTTCTGGGGCCATCTGAGAGCCATCTTTGGGCGGTCTTGTGTGGTTCATGGGCCATACAGGGTCCCTCTTGGGGCCGCCTCGGGAGCTTGTTGGGCCTCTCTGAAGTTTTCCCGATGCCACATGAAAGTCACAAGCATTGGAAACTAAACTCATGCACGTTCATCTAGTGGTGAACTGTTTCCAGCCACGCTGGAGGTATCTTTGGGCGATTCGTTGGATGCTCTTGGGGCAAGTGTGTGTTCAGTGTGAACATATTGGAGCCTTTGACGGGGATGTTCGAGTGTTGCGGGCTGATGTGGGTCGACTAGGCGGCTATCAAGGCTGCCTTGGAGCCCAGTTGAGAAGATACTCGGCCGCCCCAATGAAGGAACGAAGGCGAACATCTGCTTGGGCGTGCAGCGAGGGGGGCTCGCCCCCGCAAGCCCGCAAAAGTGCTCCCAGACAGCCAGCAGGCGTCCGCACACGCAAACTGTGCTGAGGGCACCGTGGCGGCTGTGGCACAATTATGTAGAAGAGCATGTGTGCGGTGGTCTTCGCCGGCGCAGGGCACCTCCTCCCTCTCTCTGCATGGTTGCCGAATTCGCGTTCGTTTATCTTCTAACGCTTCATCGCCAGCGCAGTCACTCTGCCTAGCCGCCGACGCAAAAAGTGTGCGGTGGCCGAAGCTGCGGTCGATTTAAAGAACATTGAAATGCTGTGGTCGGAGCTTCGGGGTAGCACGCCAGGTTCGGCCAGATTTGTGGCCCCGGAGGGACCCCCAAGCTCTCTCATGTTCCCGGGTCTCGACGCGGACGTGGAGAGTTTATTGGAGAGGCTTTACGGCCGGTGCTGCCGACGCTGAACGACGACGGTGACGACGACGACAATGTGACGTGGGTCAGAGTCCTCAGGGATGCTTCTTGGGGTCTCTTCGGAGCGCTCTCGGGGGCCTCTGGGGCGTAGTTTGGGGGCCTCTTGGAAACCTCTTGAGGGCCTCTTTGGGCTTCCTGGGTGCCTCCTGGGGGTATCTTGGGGGCGTATTGGGGGCTTCTTGGCGCTTCCTGGGAGCCTCTCAGGCCGATAGCTCGAGACGTCCGTTCGGGTCCCCCGTCTGGGCACTCTATTGGAGCCGCTTTGGGGTCCTCTTTGGCCGTCTTGGAGACCTCTTGGGCCGTCTTGGGGCCCTCTTGTGTCGTTTTGGGGCCCTATTGGAGGCCTCTTGGGTTATCGTGGGGGCATCTTGGGCCGTCTTGGAGTGTTGGGAAGCCGAAGAGGCGAGAGTCCAAAAATAAATCAAAAAAACCTTAGGAGCATCAATGATGTTTGCCTCTTGGAGTGCTCTTGGAGGCCTCTTGGGGCGTCTTGGAAACCTCTTGGGCCGTCGAGAGGCGACGCTGGCGTCTTGGACCGATAGTTCGGCGAGTCGAGGCCCTCTTGGACCGTCTAGTTTGCCTCTTGGGGCAGTTTTGGTCCGTCCTGAGGGGTTTTGTGCTTTGGGACCCCTGGGAGGGAGTGGCATTCTGAACTGGGACTTGCCCAGGGTCCCCTCCCGGGACCCCCTCCCGGGACCCCCCCCTGGCAGGAACGGGGCCAAAGGGAAGGAACTTCTTTCGACTCGACTACGATGTTGCTGCTTAGTTTCGCTTTGGCTGGCGCGCTTGAGGAGGAGGGCCCAGGGCAAGAGTGGGGGAGCGGCGACGGCGACGACGAACGGAAGAGCGTCTTCCACACGCCGACAGGATCGGCGGATGACGGGGAGCGTCTTCGAGGTACGAGAAGCTAGCTGGGCGTTCTGACCGAATCTGCGTCATATCTAATAACCTCTTACTCGTAGAGGGTGGCTGATTGCAGTTGAGTTTTCGCTAGCGGATCCCAAAAAAAGCGAATTCGTTCGAGACAGCCTCACAAAAATAGGATAGTCGCGACATCGCGTTTAACAATTAGCGTGGAGCTCCCTATATGCGCATCTATTCGCATGGACCTGACCGCCGTGAGTGTCTAGGCGCAAGAGTTTTCGAATCTAAGCAGGCTTGAGTTTTGACGGTCTGGTCATGAATCTAACTGCGAATGAATTGGAGTGTGAATGAGTCTGAGTAGTACGAGCGCGTCTCTGCGCATGAGCCTGGGGCCTCCTGAAACCGCCTGGGGCCTCCAGGAGCCTCTTGGGACCTCCTGGGCCTCTTAGGGCTTCGAGTGGCCTCCTAAGGCCTCCTGGAGCCTTGCGTGAACTCCTGGGACCTCCTAGGGAGGATTCGCGCCCCAGGAGAAGCCCAATACATAGGAACAGACGTACAAAAAACATTGCGGATTGGAGCCACAGGAGAAGGGCAATATATAGGAACACACGTAAATCGCCAAGGACTCGTGCCCCAGGGGAGACCCAATCTATACATCAAGGATTCGTGCTCCAGGTGAGGCCCAAAATATGTGTATACATATATATATATATATATATATATATATGAGCACACGTAAAACACATGGGATTGGAGACACTCCTGTTGCCTTCAAGGGCCTCCTGGCGCTTCCTGTGGCCTCCTGGGGCCTCCTGTGGCTTCCTGAAGCCTCATGGAGCTTCCTGGGGCCTCCTGGAGCCTCTTGGGACATCCTGTTGCCTCTTGAGTCTTCCTGTGGCCTCCTGATGCCTCCTGGGACCTCATGTGGCCTCTTGGGGCCTCCTGGAGCCTGCTGGAGCCTCCCGTGGCTTCCTGGGGAGAATATGTGCCCACGAGTCTGGCCACCAAAACAGGCAAACCGACCGAGACATCCTCAAACTCTGGCCCCCTTGGGGGGCGAAAATAAGCGCCTCGCTCGAGACATCCTCAAAATCTGCTCCGAAAACAAACGATGTTGGGCATGCAAACAGGCAAACCGCTCGAGGCATCCCCACAATTTTGGCGCGAATGGAGGCCGTGCAGCACCCCGTGGCGCCCCCCCCCCCGTAGGAGGCGCCTCGCACGAGACATTCTCAAAATCTGCTCCGAAAACGAAGGATGTTGGGCATGCAAACAGGCAAACCGCTCGAGACATCCCCGCCATTGTGGCGCGAGCGGTGGCCGTGCAACACCACCTGACGCCCCCCTTTTTACGAGCACTAAAACCAGCAAGCCGCTCGAGACATCCTCATCATCTGCTCATCGTCATCATCATCATCATCATCATCATCATCATCATCATCATCATCATCGTCATCGTCATCGTCATCATCATCATCATCATCATCATCATCATCATCATCATACTCATCTGTCATTCACCTTCCATCCTTCACCATCACCATCATATTTACGTCATACTCTCACCATACCATGGTCATCATCATGACAATCATCATCATCGCCATCACCAGCATCAGCATCATCATCATCAGTGTCTAGTGAAGAGAGGGAGGAAGGGAGGGGAGGGAAGGAAGTCCGGCGCGGCCAGATAATAACAAGAACCCCATCTTTGGAGATGGGGAAAACAAGCGTTTCGCTCGAGTCATCCTCGAAAAGCTGATCGCCGCGAAATTCACTCATCTGTAAAAATGTGCGTTTCGCCTGAAAATCCTCCCAAGCATGAAATGTCTCCGGAGGTGTGTTACTGCCGTTTATGTTGAAAACACCGTTTTAGCTAGGGACATCCTCAGAAAATGCTCGGCAGCACGGCGGACCAGAAAAAAGAGCACGGCCGAAATTTTGCATTTCGCTGGGGACATCTTCAACAAATGGGATGTTCTCAATATCGACTTGACATCGTTCTTGAAGTGCTTGAAGAGGAAGAAATGAGAGGCCAACATGGACTTCAAGATGGCTCTAAGAGCGCCTGGGAGACTGCCGAAAATAGCGATTTCGCGAGGGACATCCTCAACAAATGAAAAACATACAACAGCATCGTTGGTTTAACTGCTGTTCTAACATCGTTTTGAAATTGCTTCTGAAAAAGGATTCCAGGCGGCCCAAGGCAGCCATCTAAACATGACGATTTCGCTAGGGACATCCTCAAAAACGTGATGCATGTGGCTTCGCAATGCCATCATTGTTTTAAGGGTCGAGAAGGCCCCAAGCGAGGCCCAATATGACCCCAAGAGCGCCCTCGATATTCCTCCAACTTTAGCTCTTCGCTCGAGACGTCCTCACCAAAATGAGTTGTTCGCAACACCACCGTGTACAACAAACAAACGTTTCGCTTGGGACATCCACCAGAAACTGAAAGTAGCGAATGTAACACACCTGTGATAAATTAGGGGTATCGCCCGAGACATCCTTGAAACCATGAGATATAGAACACGTCTGTTTAAGCCCATGCATGTTCAAACTGAGCTTCTCGCCTGAGACATCTTCAGCACATTGGCAGGATCACGGCAGCCCAACGCAGGAGCACGGCAGAACGCGCGGGAGCACGGCAAAACACACAGGAGCACGGCAGAATACACAGGAGCACAAGGAGCACGGTAGAACACACAGGACACACAGGAGCACGGCAGAACACACAGGAGCACGGCAGAACACGCAGGAGCACGGCAAAACACACGGAACACACGGGAGTTCGGCAGAACACATGGGAGCATTACAGAACACATGGGAGCACGGCTGAACACACAGGAGTACGAGGAGCACGGCAGAACCCACAGAATGCAACTGAGCACGGCAAAAAAAAAAACAGGAGCACGGCAGAACACGCAGATTCACGGCAGAACATTCAGAACACAGAACATACAGGAACACGGCACAACACACGGGAGCACGGCAGAACACACGGGAGCACGGCAAAACACACAGGAGCATCCGAAGCCATTTTGGCTCAAGGCCATGGAGAACCCGACGACCGCGAGTCGCTCGCGGCGCTCTGAGCGAGAGGGTCTCCGCGCTTTGGGCCAGTGCAATTCGTGTTTGTGCTCCCTGTTTTCTCGGCGCGGAGGCGCAGCCCCTCGGTCAGTGCAGCGGTGGCCATGGCGAGGTCCCCGCGCGGCGGCGGCTGCGGCAGGCGCTGCAAGGCCTACTGGATGTGCAGCTGTGGCGGATGCAACTGGGATTGGCGCACCTCGTGCCTGTGCTGCGGGCATGCGGCCCCGCCTTGGGCGATGGGGACGCTCCCAGCCAAGGCGAGGCCTAAGGCGGACAAGGACGGCTGGGTGGATCAGCCACGTGGGCGCCGTGCCCAAAGGCAGGCCCGCGGCGCGGCATCGCGGGCGGCCTCCACCAAATCGCGCACCTCGGCGTCGGCAGCGAGTGGGACGCCCAGCGGCGGAGGCGCCACGGCGATCGAGAGGCTCCAGGCGGCAGTCGAGCAGCTCGAGGCGCTGCAGGCCGAGCCCCCCGACGGAGTGGACGGCTGCTTCACCGACGTCGTGGTCAGGCAGCTGGAGGCGAAGCGTGCCGAGTGGGTCAAGGCCCAAAAAGCAGCAGCGGAGCAGAAGGCCTCTTCCCTGCCGCGGGCGACACGGCTCCACATGGGAGGCGAACGCCATCAGCAAGGGTGAGAAGCGGCTCCGGGCAGCCCGCCAGGAGCTTGTGCAGCAGCAGGAGGCGCGCGACCTCGTCGAGGCCCAGCTCCAGAAGGCCCAGGAGGAGCTCGCGGAGCTCGACGCGGAGGTGGAGGAGGCGAGCCGTGCGCTCCAGGTGCTCGAGGAGGCAGCCCGCGAGGAGGCTGAGGCGCTGCGCCGCCAGCCTGCAGCAGAGTGGACAGGAGCCAGCCAGGTGCCAGGGCTCCTCATGCAGCTGGAGCAGTTGCCAGAGGCGTGGAGCCCCAGCAACTTCGAGGTGGCCTGGGCGGCCACTCGCGCACAGATGGAGGCAGTGCGGGCGCAGCTCGAGGGAGCCCCAGCGGCCCCCAAGCGCGCGCCGTGGGCCGAGTCCTGCCCCATGGAGGAGATCAGCAGCGACGATGGCGAGCCCGCGGACGGCGGCGGCCCCTGGCAGCCCCAGCCAGCCGCCGAGCGAGGCCGAGCCGAGCGGCGCGGCGAGGCGCTGGGCGAGTGGCCGACGGTGGCCCAGGCATGCAAGCGGGAGCTGGCGGCTGAGGCAGCGGACTTGGCCCCTCTGGCTTCTCATCCTTCTGGGCCAGAGAGTGCCTAGCGAGGCCAGTGCGGCGGGCCTGCGCCTGCACGAGAGCGGCGCCGAGGGCGTCGAGAGCGACCTGGTAGGCCGCCGCGGCACGGGCGCCCTCGGCACGCCCAGGGGCCAGGAGAGCGCTGCAAGGCCCCGCTGGGACCTCATCCCCCTGGGCGCCGAGGAGAACGTAGTTGGGGCCATCGAGTTCGGCACTAGCGAGTGGGGCGACCACAGTGACCAAGCTGGCGTATATGGTGACCCTGAGGCCACTGCAGTGCTGCAGCGGCGCCTCGCGAGCCCCCAGAAGCGGGACGGCGGCAAGAGCTCGGCCTCCTGCAGGATATGGGCCAAGCAGGCCGCGCAGAAGGGCGGCAGACTCGCCCGCAGTTTTGCCGAGGCTGCGCCGCCCCTACCAGCGGTGGATCCAGAGGCTAGCAGGCCCTTGGCAGGCACGATGGCAGTCGAGCAGCTGGAGGCCAACTGGCAGGCCATGCGGCAGCAGGAGGGCTTCAGGTCTGGAGCTGGAGTCGGCAGCTGGGACGTCCGAGGCTCGACGCTGCCGCCCCTCAGCCTGGAGATGCTGCAGGCGGCTCGCAAGCGTTCGCTGGCGGCGGGCCTGGACGCTGACCAGCCCCACCCACGGCAGCTGCCGCTGCCCCCTTCGGCCCTGCGTTTGCGCGGCCTGGTCCTCTTGGAGGCCCACGAGGAGCAGCCCAAGGCCCTCGAGGCCGCAGCAGGCCTGTGCCGCGCCTCGCCCGTCCACGATGGGGAGCGGGCCCAGTGGGGCGGCGACTGGCGCCTCGAGCCAGAGTGGTGCATGACCATGGACCTCAGTGACGCGCTCGGGCCCATGTCCCTCGAGCCGCAGGCGCAGTCGGCGGCGGCGTCGGAGCCCCAGCAGGCTGGAGAGGCCCTCGCCGGCGGAGCTCCAGCCACGCGACCCCACCTGGAGGACAGCCGCTCGACGGGGAGCAGCGCGGCCGCCCTCTCGGCCACCGCCGTCGCTTTCAGCGCCCTGGGGCACGTGCTCAGCTACGCCTGCGCGGACGTAGGCGAGGACACCCAGGAGGTCGCGGCGCGCACCAAGCGCGGCGCCTACAAGGTGCTGGGCGGCCGCGCGGGAGGCAAGTCTCGCCTCAAGGCGCAGTGCCCAGGGCCCAGCTACCTGACCAACAAGTCGGGCAGGAACCAGCGCAGCTTGCGGGAGCGAGGGCTACACCCTGGCGGCAGACCTCGCGCAGACCAGCGGAGAGCGAGAGCAGAGGGCACCCCTGCCTTGCGCCCCCAAGGGCCAGTGCCAGGACATGCCCAGGAGCGCTACCTGGAGTGGATAGGCATAGAGGCGGAGCCCACGGGCGGAGCCTCAGCCGCAGCCAGCAGTTCGGGCAGCGGCCCAGCGGCCGCGGCAGCGCAGGAGGTGCAGGCGGCGGCGGCCAGCCTGCCCCAGCAGCGGCCAGGGCCGAGCGCGGGCGCCCCCAGAGCAGGCGAGACAGCCGAGGAGGAGCTCGCAACCGCGGGAGCCCCACCCAGCGGCGGCCTGGTGAGCCGCAGGGTCCGCCGCCGCCTGGCGCGCCGCGGCTCGGAGTACCTGGAGTTCTACCTGGAGGAGTTCGGCAGTGAGGCGGAGCCTACAGGCGGAGCCTCAGCCGCGGCCAGCAGCTCGGGCAGCAGCCCAGCGGCTCCCGCGGCAGCACAGGTAGTGGAGGCGGCGGAAGTTGCCGCCGTGAGCAGCGCGGCGGGCGGAAGGCAAGTGAATCGCAGGGTCAGCCGCCTTCTTGCGCACCGCGGCTCGTCATCCGTGAGTGAGTGAGTGAGGAGAAGCATCGTTCTCGCGTGTTGCCCTTGGTGTGAGTAGGCACGCGAGGCGCGCTCTGCTGTGTGGGGGCTCCTGTGCCGTCGCAGTCGAGTTCCCTTGTGCGGTGGCCCAAGGCGGCCCCGCTGGTTTGCCGAGAGGCGGCCCGAGGTGGCCCCTCTTGGGTGGGCGGCCCTGCTGGGCCCCCGCGGGTGTCTGGCTTTTTGGCCCACCACTTTGCCTTGAAGGCCCCGTCTCTAACTCTAACTCTAACACACAGGAGCATGGCAAACCACACAGGAGCACGGCAGAACACGCAGGAGCACGGCAAAACGCACAGAACACATGGGAGCACGACAGAACACACAGGAGCACAGCAGAACACATAGGAGCATGGCAGCACACACAGGAGCACGAGGAGCACGGCAGAACCCACAGAATGCATAGGAGCACGGCAGAACACGCAGATGCTTGGCATAACACAGAACACAGAGTCCGCAGCCATTTGGCTCAAGCCAGCTCGGTTCAGGCTTGCTTGAGCGAGGGATGGCCACCGGAGGGGGCCCTCTGCGGTTCCCCCGCTCGCGGCGCGAGCGTGGCGATGCGGCGCGGCGCGCCCAGGCGGCTGCTGACGCGTCATTTTCAAGATGAAGAACAAGCTCGCGGAGGCGCAGCACGAGCGCGCCCGTCTCCGCGACCTGCTCGCGGGCCCTGCTGTTCCAGATGGCGTGGCCAGGGAGGTAGCGCGCCGCGAGCGCATTGCGCGCCCCGCCCTGTGCGCACTGGCGCAGGAGACCCCAGCTGCAGATTGTGAAGTTCTTCGTCGTAACGTGGCCCTGCAAGCCGCGGTGCGCCCTGAGGAGCCTGACCCTCCGGCTGCATGGCGCAAGGCGCAGCGGGGTCGGCGTCTCGCGCGCGGCAGCCGCCGTGCCTCCTGGAGGCGCCTGGCTTTTCCCCACAACGTCGATGCGCTGGACTTCGCGCCGTCCGCAGGCTGTTGGGAGGCCCTGCCGCGCAACGAGGTCGCCGTCGACGACGTGGACTCCGTGGAGTCGTGCGACGCGGAGCTGGCTGCAGGTGCCGTGCCAGGGCCCCTGCGGGAGGCCCCGCGGGGGGCAACTGCCCTTGCGCTGCCGCGCCGTGCCGCGGGCGGCGGGCGCTGCGACATGGAGGCGGGCATTCGATGCACATGCGGGGCCGCGGTGTTCTCGGGCGTGGCGGTCGGCGCGCAGGCGGTCAGCAGGGCGCTGACAGTGCCTAACGCATGATGGCCCCGGTCCGGTTCGGTTCGGTCCGGTTCGGCGCGCCTTCGTGTCGGTGCGGCCGGTCCGGTTCAGATCGCCGTCTGGTTCGGTCCATCCGGTCCGGTTCGAGTATATTGGCCGGTCCGGTTCGGCCGGTCCGGTTCGGTCGCTCGGTTCGGCCGGTTCGGTCCGGTTCGGCCGGTTCGGTTCGGCCGAGAGTTTCCAGTTCGGCCGGTTCCAAGACACCCCCGAATTCTTGGGCATGAGGCGACGACGACGACGACGTCGACGACGTCGACGTCGACGACGACGCGCAGAGCGGGGAGCGGGAGCGGCAGAGTGTGAGAGAGGGAGGAGAGAGGGAGGAGAGAGGAAGGAGGGACGAAGGGGGGAGGAGGGACGACGGAGGAGAGCCGACGGAGGGAGGGACGAGGGAGAGAGGGGGCAGCAGGAACGGAGGAAGCGGCAGAGGGAGGGACGAGGGAGCGGGAGCGGCCCTCCGATCCCCGGCGTCCTGAGGGGGGGTCAGGTCCCCCGTCGTCCTGAGAGGGCGGGTTCAGGTCCCGTCCTGAGGGGGGGTCAGATCCTGAGGGGGGGCGCCGTCCGTCCCGAGGGGGGGG